ACACTAACATCAAATATGAGCAATTTAATTTGTGTGTCACTGTGAAAGGAAGCATTTTGGAGGAAATATAGAAATAGAGAGCCCACAGCACCAACACACAACCAACTAAACCCTCACAAAAGAGAAGCTGGAACTAAAAACAAAAACGTCTCAAACAACTCGACTGCTTCAGCTGTTGTTCGTGGATCAGTGGATGCACTCACAGGATCCGTATCACAGACGGAGCCAGGTTGTAAACACGTACCTGAAGTAGTGACAGCGAGCCGCCAGGATGACCCGGTGCGCCGGGAAGCGCTTCCCCTCCACCACGAAGGTCACATCGCTGTACTCCTCCCCGAGCACCAGAGCCCCGAGCTGCTCCGACAGCAGGTGGATGTGGTCGATCTCCGACACGGAGGCCAGTGGACGCAGAGGGTGGCTGTTACTCATGGTCGACGGCTGCCAGAGTCACATCTGAACACGGGAGCAAGCGAGTCAACACACAGGCGGACCCAAGCGGGACAGACGAAGGGCTAGCTCAATGCTAAATTGCTAACAAAGCCATGCAGTCAAATGCAGACGGGGAGCTAATGTTAAGTTATAAAACCCAAGTGTTGTTAGTGTGTGTTGTTCATATTCCAGTAAAAAAAAAGGTACTAAACAGGTTAAAATACTCTTTAAAATAATGTAATAGCGATAACTAGCTCTCTTGTTTACAGTCGCGGACATTTGACACCTGAACAAACAACGTTTCCTGTTTTCTCTCCGTTCATTCCGCGTTTTAAACTCACCGAGCAGCTCTCATTCACTCGTGTGTTCGCGTCAAGGTGTTTTCAGATAGACAGTCCCGGTTATTTTTTGCACTGTGAAGGAAAATTCACCGAATTCCGCATCGAATTCCAACATCACACACAACCGGGAACCGATTCTGGGTCAGCGGACGTGTACTACCGGTTCGAGGGACGGTTTTTCAAAATAAAGGCACCCCGAGAGAGACTTTGAACGAGTTCCGCTTGATATAGACACATTATGAGTTGATCAATTAGCTCGACAGAGGTTTATTTATAATATATCGCCTTAAGTCTTGAGTGCATGCAGTTATAAACACATTTTAGTAGTGGGAACGTGACTCTGTACTGCAAGTAGGTTAATATTCTGTATTGCACTTATATACTTTACAATTATAACCCATAACAGTATGTAAAATGAGTAGATTTACCACCACAACCAATATAAAAATGCTGCTCAATGATGTTAATACATCCTTAAAATATTCCAATAAGTATAATATAACAAAACACAACTTTGATGCCATTTTGCCTACGTACTAAGTACTGTTACACCTTTTTGCTGGTAAGTAAGACTTTTACTTGAATCTGAGTGTTTTTACATTGTGTTTTTGCTTCTTCTTTTTTTGTTTCTTTAATAAAGGATGTGGGTTTTTCTTCCGCCACTGCCAACTTTACATGACCAGTACACACAAAATACAACCCTGATGAAAATTATTTGGACTTTTTAAGTATTTCACCAATAAGGTAACATAATAAATTAATACTATAATACAGTTTTACACATTAGACCCATTTATCACAGGACACAGTTCCCCAATCAATTGATCATGATGATTATCCATCAGCATGTGACATAAAGACATTTTAATCCATCTGAATTTAACCACTGTGCATGTCTGTGTCTCTTGCCTCTGCTGTTCTCAAACTTGTAATGTTCAATAAACTAGTTGTTTCTTTAAGAGAAACACATTATCTACATCTTGTGAACACTTCCTCATAGTGACATGTAGCCTTTTTTTGAAATGTGAGCCACCGATGTTATTGCATAACTTCCTTCTAGCTTATTTGTTGCGATATGTTGTGAAGTTACTGCAGTTCCATAGTTGTTACTGATTTTGTTGTTTACTACGACTTTCTATTATGTCACATCCCACCTCCTTTTAGTTTGATGTGAATGCTTACCGGGAAGTTCAAAGCAAACTGAACTAATAGGTTACATACATGGTGAAATTGATACAAATTATAAGAGAAGGAACTAAACAGAAAAATATGACTATAAAATATCAATACAATTTGAGTATACATCCATTACTGGACACAATAAAGTGCCTGACAGCAAGTTCATCAAGCAAAATGTGTTTGCTCATTTATTTTTTGAGCAACCATCCATATATACAGTATGTAAGTTATTATGTCACCTTTTTACATTCTGTCACTACATACTACTCCCCCTTCTGAATAAGAAGCTTTTTACATTAATCTATCTTGAAAATGATGATTTAAAAAAAACTTAAGAGAGATTAGGAAAGATCTGATGACATGAGTTTGTTTGTTTGGTTAGTTGATGGTAGCGTAGAGGTTGCTGGGATCAATTGAGGAAGTTTTCACGGTCGTGTAGGTTACTGCATCACCTTCATCGTCATCGTTTTTATTCTGAACCTGGCAGGAAACAACACAATATATATTAAACAACAGGATATGGCATAGCATGGCAATGCATTACAACATTACAAAAGATAAGTGCAAAGGAACACTATGCAACAGTAGAACACAATATACAAAACAACACAAAGAAACATGAAACATTTTGACAAAATGCAAATCAACATTATCATTCAGATGCACACTTATCCTGTAAACAAGTGTGCATCTGAATCCTGAAATTGAGACATTCCTCAAAACCAAACAGACAGCTTACCCGGCCTTTACTGTTGGTCTTCTTGGTGTAGCTGATGGAGGCGTAGGAAACACCATCTTCAGGATCAGCCTACACAGAGAAGACAACATCATGGCTGCTCAGTAACATGTGGACTTATACTGACTCACACTTCTAACTTTATTCCATTCTGTTTGATCACAGTCAGCATTTTAAATTGACTTCTGCCAAAGAGGTTATGTTATGTCTCTTTAAAATGATGTCTCAAAATGTTGACAGTATTTAATTTGTGGCGGTCTGACCTCTGGTTTTAAAAACCACAGTTCTCTTCTGCTGTAGTCCAGTTGCATCATCTAACTTCCCTTTTTATCTTTATTGCACATTCTCACACTCTCAATACTGTACGTAAAACAGTTATATTTCAGAGAAGTGTAACTTTGTACTGGGTGTAGTGTGTGATCCTCCACCGTGTCTGACTGGTTTCTGGAGTCAACTGAGTCCTGAAGGGTTTATGGTCAGCCCTGGACAAACACAAGAACATTTTACAGTTCAGATTATCAAAACTTTTTGTTATTTCCTTGATCTTTGCTGCTGCAACCACAAAACAGTCAGTACTGTTTATTTATCTTAAACTTTGTCCAGAATAAAGATTTGAAAATATGTACAGGAAAACAGTGTTTTTAACTCACAAACATTGAACATTCATGACCTGTTTTCTTTGAGCTAAAGAAGACAGCAAAAGAGTCCCGACTTTAGTGTCCAAAGAAAAAATCCAGTTTCATTAAAACTTCTTGGTTTAAATTTTAATCTGAGGTTCAACCTTTTAAGTTCCTCTTCCATCGATACTTTCACACTATTATATAAAGCAGTGCAGCTAAAACCAAAGACACAAGAGGTAACACCCACCACAAATCTGGAAGATACGACTGAAAATACTTTGAGCCTGTTGGCTGCACTTCTGTTCTGTGTCAAAATCATTTAGCCCATTAGAACTGTGATTAAATTAGATAATGATATTGCACATGGGCAACGATAAACACTGATCAAACATAAGGTAACTAATTTTGATAGCAGTTGTGTTTTAAATGTGTAACTGGGTAGTGTGTGTTAACACATAATGAAGGGAAATTTTCTTAAAAACAGATGTAGACAACTTATGCAAATATAAGAATAATATATTTTCATCCCAGCCAATAACAGTTTGTAAATCAGATTGTAAACTCTCATCTAAGAGGAAGCTACAGTGTGAAACGTCTTGTTGAACGGGAAGGGGGGGCAATTTTGATACACTATAATATAAAAATTACTCATTCTGTGA